CCCCCCCGTGGGCCGGTCGTGGCCTGGCGCGGGGCCTTCGCATTGGGCGTACCTCCGGGGCGAAGTCATGCAGCGAGTAGAACTGCGGGATGAGCGCGGCAGCCAGGTCCATCGAGGTGCCGGAGTGCATGCGTGCCAGCGACCAAGACCGGGCATCGATCGGCAGGACGCCGACACCGCCGCGGAAGGCCGGCTGACGGGCCAGCGCCAGGACCAGGAATGGCAGGTACATGAGCGACTGCGGGGCGACGATCTGGCTGGCAGCCGCGGCCGCCGGGTTCTGACCCACCTGCGGGGCCATGGCCGGGACCGGGTTCGAGCTGGCCGGGAATTCGCTGCGCGCCACGGTCAGCAGTTCAATGGCCTTGTTGAGGATGGCATCGCGAGCGTCCTCAACCCGGGAGGAGAGGGCACGCTCGACCGCTAGCGGGGTGTCGTGCGTGCCAGGGAGGTGCAGAGACGAGAGGGAAAGAAGAGGAAGAAGAAGGGAACAGCCCCAACATCCGGCACCGGGAGGTTAGTCCGAAGGAAGGAGCATGAGAGAATCCAGGACGGTGGCCATCCCCCGGCCACAATGTGTGCGCGCGTGCGCGCGTGCGTGCGCGCGTGCACGGGCCGGGAGGGGAACGCGGCGGACACAAACGCACCCATCTTCGACAGCAGGCCCACAACGGCCGGGACATTGACCGAGTTCAGCACGGCACCCACCTCGGTGGTGGTCGGGATGGCGGAGGTGATGACCCGGATGCGGCGCTCGCCATTGGACGAGGTGTACAGGATGGACGTCTGGAAGCACACCAGCGGCGCGGCGATCGACTCGTCGATCTCCAGCTGCACCGCGTAGCCGGTCTGCGGCGGGGTGGCCGGCAGGGCCAGCAGGTCGGAGAACCGCATGAACCCCGGGCCATGGTAGTCCACCAGGCGCACGCCGCGGGACACGCGCACGCGGAAGTGCGCCTCCAGGCCGAACATGGTGGCCATGTACTCGCCCAGCTCGTAGGAGAACCGCTCGACATCGGCCCGGACCCCGGCATTGAAGGAGGGATAGTAGTAGCACACGCCGGAGGTCACGCGCGGCAGGTGCGTCAAGGAGGCCAGGTCCAGGTAGCGCGACAGCCCGGCCGAGTCGGGGCCCGAGCCGAAGAGGAAGAAGTCGAAGGACACATCGGACTTGATGGCGGCCAGGGCCAGATTCTGCGAGGAAGTGGTCTGCGGCGAGAGCAGGGCACTCTCCTTGTTGGTGCCGACCACGGGCTGCGGGGCACTGCCGCCGGCCCCGGTGCCGGTCTTGCCGGCCGGCTGCGCCCGATTGGTCAGGATGTAGGGCCCGGTGTCGGGCAGGGTGGCCTGGAAGACGCAAACCTTGCCGCCGCCGGTGCCCAGGAGCTTGAAGGCCGCATTGAGGGCCGCGCCGAGGCAGTTCCCCCGGCGGGCCTGGTCCTTGAACAGGCCAGGCAGCGAGTCGAGCAGCATCTCCACCATGTTGCGCGACTCGGTCAGGTGGACCAGCAGGCCGCTTGGGATCGGCAGCGTGATGGAGTCCAGGTCGTCGATGCTGCTCTCCTCGAACTGCGGGATGACCAGCATGTCCGGCCGGGAGCGCGAGGCCGACAAGTTGTAGAAGTGCAGCGAGTCGTCCACCGTGATGAAGCCGATCTTCAGCCGGCTCTCCTTGTTTGGCAGCCGGTCGAGCGAGGCCTTGATGGTCTGGCAGGCGACAGCGAGCATGCCTGTCGCGTGCGTGCGTGCGTGCGTACGTGCGC